CACACACACACACACACACACACACACACACACACACACACACACTCAGTCCTAGAGTTCTTAAGTCAAAAGGGTGAGAAGGGCCTGCGTGGGTTACTAATGTATTTAACATTACAGGAAACCCGCTGCGGCCAGGAAATTGGACGAGGTGTCCAAGCGTCCTCGGTGGTTCGGATGAGATCGTCCCTCATGGGCAGAGATTTGAACACTCAGCCCCCAGTGGGTGGGCAAATCACTCCCAAGCCTCGGAAAGCCTCTGCTTCTGCACCGTCAAAACACAAGAGTGGAAAGAACACGCTAAATTTGAGTCTTATATGTGCGGGCATAGTGTCTGCATGCATGGTGTGTGCGCACGCCTGTGCACGCGTGTGTGGTACGAGTGCGTGGTGTACGTGCCCTCTCTTCTCTCCAATCCCAGAACACACCTTCACACGCTTTGTGGTTGTGTTTTTCATTTTTTTTTTAGACAAAGTCTCATGTAGCCCAGGCTAGCCTTGAACTCGGATTTCCTGCCTCTGCCTCCCAGAGGTGATGGGGTGGTGCGGGTGGCGCCCAGGGCGGGTGTGTCCGAGCAGGTGCTCCAGCCCGGCCCAGCCCCTCCGACTTCACTTTTAACAGTATTTCCTTATTATCCTTTGCCTGTGAGCTCCGAGGAGGCCGGGAGAGCGCTGGGAACTTCACGTGTGTGGGAGGAACCGAACCCGGGTCCCTGCAGGCGCAGCAGGCCCCGGGCCGAGCTGGGACGGTGAAGGCAACAGAGAAGCTTAGCGCAGGTCAGCGACCTCCCTCCCTCTCCGCGGCTACTTCCGCTTTCTCGGTATTTGCATCTCATTTGCATACCCCTCCCCCTCCGCCCGAATCCCCGGCCTCAGCTTCCAGCCCCGCCTCTCTTCCTTCCCTCTTCCCGGCCACAAACTTCCCCCGTTTTTCTTTCTTTCTTTTCGTGCTTGGTTGGTTGAGACAGAGTCGTGTGGTCAGGCTGCTGGCCTCAAACTCGGCATCCTCCAGCCTCCGCCCCACGGTGCTGGGACACAGGCACGCCACCACCACTCGCTCCTCCGGTCTTAACCGGCTGAGCATCCCAGGTGTCACACGGACACACAGTCACGGCTTACAGCCCACCCCGCTCTCCGGAGCTGTGACCCGGGTTCGCGACCCCGGGAGGTGAGGTCGGCCCTCATCCTCATGGAAACAGAGAGGTGCGGCTGCGTGGCCAGCGCCACACAGCCTGCACACAGCCTGCAGGAGGCCCACTCGAAGTTCTCAGGCTGACTTCAAACTCGTGGTCATCCACCTGCCTCCGACTCCCGAGGGCTGCAAGCACATGGTGGTGGCGGGTGCACAGCCCCGTGCTCTGCCGAGTCCACCCCCTGTGGCCCCCGTGGTCACTCACCCGGGTGCAGGCCACTCCTCGGGCCCCTGGCCTATGAAGACGTTCTCGTAGTCCAGCGTGGCCCTGTCCGGTGGCGTGGCCGGCGCCTTGGGGCCCCGCCGCTGGGCGCTCGGCAGGAAGCCTGGCGCCGGTCTGGGGGGGTCGTGTGAGCCCTGGGCTTTGCTGAGGGCCTGGCCACTGGTCCCCCGGTGTCGCCGAAGCCTCCAGGCCAGCACGGACCCACCGACGGCCAGCGCCGGGAGGAGAGTCCCTGCCACGAGGGCGCCGACGGCCCACGGGGCCCAGCCGGCGGGACAGCTGAGCTGCAGGAAGGTGGAGAGGTTCCCGGGGGCCCCCGAGCCCGGGTGCAGACACGGCGGCTCCTGCGCCCCCGAGCAGTTGTTCTGGCGAATGTGGTACCAGGCGGCCAGCGCGCAGCTGCAGTCGGCCCTGAGCTCCAGGTCGCAGCGCAGCGCCAGCGCCCCGTCTACGCTGAGCAGCTGGTTGTGGGTGACAATCAGGGTTCGGAGCTTCTCCAGGCTGGCGAAGAAGAGCCCAGGGAGAGCCCGCAGCTTGTTCCTGGACAGGTCCAGGACCTGCACGCGGCTGGCCCTCAGGGACTGGGTCCTCGGCAGGGACAGGCCAAGGCCACTGAAATTGAGGCAAGTGTCACTGAATGTCTGGGTCCAGTTCACAAGGCTTGAGGACGCTGTGCAGGTGAGATCCTGACTCCCCGACTCCTGGAGCAGGGCCAGCAGCAGCAGAAGACATGTCCACAGCAGCCTGGCCCTGGTGGCCCCCATTCCAGCAACCTGTGTGGGACACGGGCGTCACATGGTCACCTCACCCTGCCGTCTCCTGCCCAGGCTGAATGTTGTGGGTTTAAAAAAAAATACTTTAATAATTCAAACCAGGCTAGAGGTGGTGGCGCAGGCCTTTAGTCTCAGCCGGCACAGGCAGGTGGATGTAAGTTGTAAGATGTCTCTCATAAGTTCGTGGCCAGCCTGGTCTACAGAGGGGGACCCTGCCTCAAACCCAAATAAAAGACCCTCAACCAGCTCAGCTCTTCTGACATGGAAGCACACTGCCCCTGCCTGGCCACCTCTCCCTGAGCATCCCTGGTCCCCAAGCCTCCATCTCCTGGTCTGTGAAATGGGTGCATCCTGCGCCTGCTGAAGACTAGACCACCCTCCCACACACCTCAACCTCGATCATCTGCAGCGCTCTCGTTGGCCAAAACGCGGCCATATGTAGATGAGTGGTTGCCCTGGAAACCGCCCAGCCCGGGTCCTGGCAACCTTTCCTGCAGACCCCGCTACTCCGCATCTCAGACCCAGGGGTGCGGGAGGCGGGTGCGCCGGCTGCTGCTTGTGCCCCGAGAGCCCGGGTCTTACCTCCTGGTGTCACCTTCCGGCCTTTGTGGTGTCGCGAGCCCCGGGGTCTGGGTTGGGGTTCACCGTGGCGGCCCCGGCTGAGCCACGACCCCGCGCTCTCCACCTCTGGCCCCGAGCCTGGGAGAAGAGGAACAGCGGAGGGGACAGGAGGCCGGAGACCGGCCCTGCGCAGCCTCGGGCTCTCAGGGGGAGGGGCCGCCCTGCCCCACTTCTCCCTTGCTGGAAGCCAGTGACCTCACCCTGTGCTCCCTGGCCCGCAGCTTCCCCACCCGCTTCCTGACCTCTGCTGGGCTCTGCAAATATTCACTCAACAACAATCGCTACGGATGCCTCGGCCCTGGGCAGGTACTCAGGGCCATCTGGTCCTGGGAAAGGACAGAGCTGGACAGTGACACAGACACACACACACACCATGGAGTCAGGACAGGCCCAGAAAAGGGACAGGATCCTGCGAGGCATCCTAGAGGAGGGGACATTAACGCTGGGGCTTCAACACATGGCTAGGAGTTTCCCAAGGATTCTTAAACCCTGTCCTTAGTTTTCCACCGTTGCACAGAGGCGCAGTGGAAGTCTGTGGAAGTCTGTGCGCCTGTTGAAGGGGAGCTTTAGCGCCTGCCAGGGGAGGGGACATCGCTGATAAACAAACTTGACAGGCAGCCAGAGCAGTTCCCGAACAGGACGTCAGGAGCTAAGGTCCTGTGGCCTGAGGAGCCGAGGAGCTGGCCTCTCACGGGGCACAGGTGTAAACCCCAGGACCCGAGGGCCCGTGGGAGCCGGGCTGGCCTGTGCACAGGGGAGGGAGGGTGTCCTGGTGTGAGGGCTGTCTGTCTGAAGGAACCGACCCAGCAGGTCGCTGACAGGAAGGGGAAGCGGCCAAGGCTGTGTGAGGTCGTGGGTCGGAGTCCCGTGGACTCTGCCCACTCAGAGGCAAGGCCCTGCAGGGTCAGGGGACACAGGAGTCCCACGCTGCGGGTCGGTGACAGGGTGGCCAGGCCCGGAGCCCCGTGCAGAGGATGCTCAGCCGTGGAGAGAGCTTGCTGCAGAGCAATCTGGAGTCGCATCCCTGTCACATGATGCCCATGGCAGGAACTCGTGACCCTGAGTGACAGATGTCAGTCACAGTGACATGAGCACACCCACCCCAGGCGCTAGCAGCCTCAGGTCTGCTCACGACATCGGGGCTCTTCCCGGGAAGTGGAGTCTCCTGGAAGCATTGAGGACAGACACACAGCAGAGTGGATGTGGGAAATGCTGCTCGCTTCTTTATTATTATTTCACTTATTTAATTTGTGTGTGTGTGTGTCTGTGTGCATGTGTGTGTCTGTGTCTGTGTGTATGTATATGTGTGTGTATGTTTATGTGTCTGTGTGTGTGTGTCTGTGTGTATGTGTGTCTATGTGTGTGTCTATGTGTATGTGTCTGTGTATGTGTGTGTCTGTGTGTATGTGTGTGTATGTTTATGTGTCTGTGTGTATCTGTGTGTATGTGTGTGTCTGTGTGTATGTGTGTGTCTGTGTCTATGTGTATGTGTGTGTGTGTATGTGTGTGTGTGTATGTGTGTGTGTCTGTGTGTGTATGTATGTGTATATGTGTGTATGTGTGTATGTGTCTGTGTCTATGTGTGTATGTGTGTGTATATGTGTATGTATGTGTGTGTATGTGTGTGTCTGTGTGTATGTGTGTGTCTGTGTCTATGTGTATGTGTATGTGTGTGTATGTTCATGTGTCTGTGTGTATGTATGTGTATGTTTATGTGTCTGTGTGTGTCTGTGTGTGCTGAGCACAATAAAAAGTTCAGCTAGACAAGGAGCCCCCCCCCCGCCCCCGCAGCTGGTCCTCACAGTTGGGAGACTGGGTGTGGCACAGGCAGGGCCAGGCCACAGAATCCCCAGTGTCACCACAAGCAGCTCACAGCTGTCCTCCACACTCAGCGATCCCCAGACCTTCAGGGGTAGCCCAGCAGCCATGTGTGCTCAGAGATGCCCCAAAATACCTTCAGAGCTATCGGGAGATCCCCTGACCTTCCCAAATGCCAGTGACACACACGCACGCACACAGACACGCACACGCACAGACATACACACACACACACACACACACACGTGCACATGCACACGCACGCGCACACACATGCACACACGCATGCGCACATGCACAGACACACACAGCTCCCAAGACCCTTAGAGACAGTGACACAGACACGGAGCTCTCAGCACTGAGATCCCCAATATATGACCCCCACAATCGAGCCCTGCTATCCCCAAACCCCTTGAGCTCCTGTCCTGGGACCCCCAGTCCCCTCAGCCTCCGGGGTCAGTCCCCCGCTGCCTCTCCCTCCAGGCTGACACCACGGATCTGCCCACCCTCCTTGTGATGGCCACAGGGGCCGCGAGGACTCTCTGCAATGAGCGCAATCCACTCTTGTCCACAGGAAGGGGAGGGCAAACAAAGACCACAGCAGGTGACAGGTGATGTACTAGGTGCCCAGGGACACTGAGAGCAAACGCTGGCTGCGTCCCGCCTGGGAGGAAGCTCCCACTGTGTCCTGCAAACCCAGTTTTTGGTTCTGAAAGAATTTAGAGTTAAAGGATTCTGCACAAAGGTTTTTAGCTATTCAGCCAGTGTAGCTTAGATTGCCTCAGAAGTGTCATCCTCCTGCCTCTGCCTCCCCAGGGTTGGGTACCAGGGCCTTGTGCTCACAGGTAAACTCTAGGGAAACCAGGAATGTTCAACAGCAGGGCTGTCTTCCACCCAGAAAGCTTCGAGTGGAGGTAGTTAAGGTCCCGGGACCTGCGCCGTCTGAAGCGCTGGTCGCTCACACTCCGAGGAGTTGATTTCAGTCATTATCCCTACACCCTTCTCTCGAGCATTTTGTTTCTGAGCCAACAGACCCATCCTCACGGAGGAGGCCATATGTGCTTTGTAAAGAGCTTCATTGTAAACAAGTCTCAAGCGCTGTTGTGCACACGGGACGGAGTCAATCATCTTCAGGACACTTTCCCCCAAAATTGTGCAGTACTTCAATATAGCTACAGTCGGTCACCCAGAGTCAGACTCCAGAAACCGGTCCCTGTGTCGTGTTGAACAGGGTTTTCTCTGCCGGCCCTAGTGTCTGCAGAAACGCCACAGAATTATAGAAGCCGCTTACAGAGAAAACAGGCGGCCGGGCGGTGGTGGCGCACGCCTTTAATTCCAGCACTCAGGAGGCAGAGGCAGGAGGATCTCTGTGAGTTCGAGGCTAGCCTGGGCTACAAAGCGAGTTCCAGGAAAGGTTCCAAAGCTACACAGAGAAACCCTGTCTCGAAAAACAAAAACAAAAACTAACAAACAGACAATAAAATAGGCATGATGGAAGCCAGGGTGGTCGACACATCATGGCCCCAACTGCATTTCTACCTGGGAGTCCATGGGGATCCCTGGTCCAGGGCGTTTTAGAGAAAGCCCTGAACCACAAGAACATGGCCACACTCACCACTGAGGACCTAGGACAGCAGGACTTTCTGTCTGGTCACTGCTGCCCATGCTTGACAGGCCAGCCTGGGCTACATAAGGAGACTGGGATGCCCCAATGAGGGGTTGGGAGCATGACTCAGGGTGCAGCCCCTGCCTAGAATCCTAGAGAGAGTAAGTAAACTGCAAAAACTCTGGGTTTGGTGTCCTGGGTTTCAGCACCAAATGTAAGCAAATTGATGGCTGAAACTGTAAGGAGACAGTTCAGCCCTAGAGGGCGAGGTATCCCGGACACCTCAGAGCTACTCAGAACAAGAGCTCTGCCCTGAGGGTGTCCCGGACACCTGAAGCTGTTTAGCACAGCTCTGATGGCTGAGACTGCAAAGAAACAGCCTAACCTTGGAAAGGAAGGTTTTCTGACTTCTCGGGAGAGTCAGGCCTGGAACTGCTTCAGCAAGGAAGGGTACCCTGACTCTTCGGGAAAGTCAGGGTATCCTGACTCTTTGGGAAGTTATGATGGTATGATGGGGGATGGTTTCCCCGCAGGACACAGCAATGCTGCTCCTCTCCTGGAGAGCCACAATCTCTGACTCAGTGTTACCAGCTCTTAGTCAGTCCACTATGGGACGTCCCAGCAAGGTTCTTCTGTTCACCAGTCAATGAAGGTCTTCACCCAATACTCTTTTGAGAAAGAGGTTTATTTGGGAAGGAGAAGTCCAGGAGAGTAGCTGCCTCTACCAGGGTGGAGAGAACAGCTCAAAACTGACTGGGCAGGGCGGTTTATATAGGATGTCTAGGGGGCGGAGTCAACTGTGATTGGTTAGTTTATTTTCTGCCCAGGGATTGGCCAGTTTTGTGAGCAAGGGGCAGAGATGGCCCTGATTTCAGGGCCAAACTGTGTTTCTTTCACTGGCCTTTCTTGACTTTTTGACACTACCTCTAAGGCCAGGGCACATTTCTTTCACTGACTCTGATTCTAGGGGCCAAGAGCGTTTCTTTGGTACTGGTTTCAGAGTCAGGGCATGTTTCCTTGGTCCATTTCTCTGGCCCAGGTCCCAAACACAGGCTGTGTTTCTTTCCCTGGTCCTGGGCCCTAGGGCCAGGATTCTGCTGTCCTGCTCTGTGATTGGTTGATTTCACAAGTCAGTTGGACAGGGGCAGAGATGGCTCTGATTTGAGCTAAACTGTGTTTCTCTCACTGGCCTTATCTGAGCCATCCTTCCCTAATTCTGGGCTCCAGGGTCAGGGTGGGTTTCTCTAGCCAGCCCCTTTTCCTTACATAGAGTAGTAACATTATGCCCATTTCACAGATGGGGAAACGTGTTGTGGAATAGAATATTTGTAAAGATGTGTTGCACTTGTTCATGCTGCCTTTGTTTAATGACATAAAAATGTGTTGCTGTTTCGCATTGCCTGCCTAAGGCACCTGATTGGTCGAATGAAAAGCTGAGTGGCCAAGAGCTAAGCAGAGAAGCGATAGGCGGGGGCTGGCAGGCAGAGAGAAAAGGGGATCCAGACAGACAGACACAGAGGAAGAAGGAAAGCAGGATGGACAGTACGCAGATGAGGCAAGCGAGCCTTTGGCAGCACATAGATTAATAGAAATGGGTTAATTTAAGTAAAAAAAAAAAAAAACTAGCTAGAAACAAGCCCAGGCTAAGGCTGAGTATTTATAATTAATAATAAGTCTCCATGTCATGGTGGCAATCCAAGAAAGTCTGCT